TATATATATATATATATATATGCGTGTGTGTGTTAGTCTGCGGCAATGTCTCCTTGTCCGGTATCTGTCTCATTCTGCTTGCTGTGTGTGTCCATACGTATTTGTACAGCGAGTTGTTTGGGTTCGCTCTCGCAAGGGGCAACTAGCGCAGGTTTGAAATAAACATTGCACGCTAAACGAGCGACAGAATCGTATGAACACGCTCCGTAGTCAATGATACCGATACGAACTCCTACCATATAGTCAGTGCCCCCGTTATTTACTTGTACATAGTTGTCCATATATGTACCATGCAGTATCTAAATTCGAGGCCCATTGGAATCTTACACTGAACAAGTTAAGGTGAATCGAGACACTGACTCTAGAGGTACACCTTTTATTGGCGTAAAACGTACGTTCGAATTTTACACTGGCATACTATTTGGATAGCATTGGGTGTGTTTGGTTTTACCCATATACGCTTAGAAAATATAAATTGCATATTGTTTTAGCACTCCATAACCTACATCTAATTAAAGCACCAAAAACTCGCACACTTAACGGCTCGTGTCTCCAGATATAGACGTGAGTACAGTACATTCGCACAAGGTTTCTATGTATACTTTTTTTTATGGTAAAGCAATTGATAAGTTCGATGAATAAACATATCCTGTTTCGATACAAATGCATATTCGTAACCTTCCCCGTAGCTTGCGCATACAACTTGAATTGAGGCAGAAGCAGTGTGATTCAGAGTCAACTCGCAAACGTACACGGACAAGTGCTTTTGTTTTCTATTTCTCTACACGAAGGATACCCGATCCCCTGAGAAACACGAACACATGCATTTGACCAAGGCACGGCGTCCAGCACGCCGGATTACGCTCGCCTCTGTCTTAAGCAGTGTTGTTCCATTCAATGTGGTTACACACGTACGTATATAGTGTAGGTTTGAGTTCCCCGCTCTGCGAATTGTTGGGAAGGAGGGGTCCATGTTCTAACTTACAGACTACTGGAGCACTCGTACAGCATGCAAACTATCCAAGCTTCCCTGCATTCCCTCCGAGGTATATATGATGAAACTGTACATGCTTTACTCAATTTTGGTATATACTGGTCTCAGTCACAATCGTACATGATATTAAGAACCGCAAGCTCATGCGTGGCTGAAGTTGCACAGAATAGCGTAGCTGAAGTTGCACAGACTAAGGTGCAGAAGCTTGCTGGAGAAACCTAACTGTATCAACTTCCACTCGTCTCACTTTATTTGTCACTCCCAAACCCTGTTGGGTAGGTCAACCTCACGCATGCTGTGAAAGCGCGTTAACTATACAGCGTTCAAAGCCAGCCACACAGAATACAGGTACATAACGTACCTCTCAGAACGAGGGTGTGATAGTCTCCAAAGGCGACCTCCTGAAAGTCCCCCAATTGAGCGAGCAGTTTCAGTTGTGTGATGGGAGAGCTTCCATATAGCATAAGAGGCATCATTCCACTACTATCCATCTCGTCATAAAATATCTATCTCTCCTCATCGCCTTATTATCTCCTCTCACACTACTAGGAAGTTGGAAGTACAGTCATAACGGCTCAAACGGACTGAAGTCCGTTGTGGTGTATTTATTTATTTTTGATTTTTCTCTCTAAATACATATTTATTATAGAGAGGGTCATAAGATATTAATTTTTTATATATAAAAACAAAATGTTTGACTCTCTATAGAGATTTCCATAGCCCCCTGAAAAAGAAACTAGATTCCTCTCTTGTGACTGGCACCTGGCACTTGACACTTGACATATTTAGTTCTGAGTTCTGACAGTCAACTCACAACACTGACACTCACTGGCATCTACTAGAGTAAATGATTAAATTTTGGCAAGTAAATACAGGAGGTATTATAAATACGTACCTATCTATGTGCGATGCGGCGTGCGCAAATATTAATAATCTAAATGTTTTTTTCGGACGTTAGTTCATAGCCTTCATAAATCAGTCATTTAGAGGGCTATGGTTATAGCTCGATCCCATATATTCTTGTTGTATTTTTAATTTTCCTCTAGAGGGTCATAGATTTTTACGTCGCGCCTATCGTTGCAAGCATTTTATTGTTGTCGTTCCCAAACCTGTCTGTCATAAAGCTGGGAACAGCGCATATACTAAAATGCACAATGCCCTGTATGAGGACAACTCCGAAAGTAAATGTATTGCTATTAAAAAACCGATATTGCCTTTTGTTTAGGGAGACCAATATGTCGTGCACATCGAACAAATGTCATGAAGAAAGGCTACCACGACACTTGTGTTTATCAATGCTCGTATCTTAAGCCATATTATTGTTTGTCATGGCAGGTTGGCTTTCCTTAAAATCGTATTCAACTTCCCCCTCCCCCCCCCCCTCTTACACGACACGCCTTGGAATGTGTTTATATATATTTTAATATAACCCTCTCGTATCTAAAGCCATATTCTTTGTCTATTCAGGATGGCTGTCTTGATGCCTGTTCTCAATTTAAGGGCCCAAACCCCACGACACGCCTTGGAGATCAAAAACGCTGAATAGTGCGGTGGCTATACTTGCTACACAGCCACCGGCGATAAGACCAGCGGCAACTGAGTATTTATACATATCCACCTGTTGAGGTGCTACAGCCTGCCAGCCCCACAGCACACACTGTCCAAAGAACTGAGCCACAGCATATTGACCAGGCAACAACCATGACAGGAAGAACACCGTCCAAACGGGTTTCATCCACATCATGCGCTCTGTCATGACAAACTTGAACAGCAGACCCTCCACTATTGTCAAGCAAGGAAAGATAATCATGTACAAATATCCTCTGTCGGTAATTGTGTAGTCAAGACTATTACCCACTGTCACGCCCTGCTCAATACCTTCAGCGAGTGCATCCCACGCACGTGCGGCAGACATTGAGAAAATACACTCGGCTTCCGGATCAAGCATACAAGGATAAGCCAAAGTGTACAACCAAAAGGCCATGACAGACACCATACCACCAACAGTGGTTCCCAAGAGCTGCGCCTTGAACTGGGCGTGTGGTGACGCACCCACCAAATGACCCGTTTTGTAGCACTGACTGACTTCCGCAGTTTGGGCTGCAGATTGTGAAACCATATTACCGACAATTAACATAGCATTGGCCGTAGAGCTCATGGCGCCCATAATCATCATTACTAATTTAGCCAAGAGCGCGGCGATGTTCCAGTTCGTACGCCCCATAATTTGGGCGTTCACAACAGCAATCGGGAATGTAATGACAATGCCCAAGGCCATTTCAGCCCAGGTCAACGTATCACCGAACAGACCCATGTATATAGCCAAACAGGCACCAATAGTGAGAGCCAGAAGGGATAATGAAACATAAATAGGAGTGTCCACGTCACGCTCGTTACCCTCCGGCAACACAATCGTATTCTCCTCATCTTCATCATCATTACGCCTGGTGATAGCTTGCTTGAGACCACTGAACAAATCAATAAGAATCTCATAGTTGATCAATATCATGCTGAAAGAGCACACCAGCATGGATATGACAGCAGCCCACATAAGCACATGGTCACGTCCAGTACCAAAACTGGGGACATCTCCAAGATAGCCGGCGGTGAAGTCAATGGGCACGAGAATGAACCATCCCACTACAGCACCAATTAAGAACCAAATGTTCACCGATGGACCTACCATAAATGCACTGGCCACAAATACGGGGTCTAAGTACAGTACAAAACCCATCATGTCAGCGAAAAGGAAGTAGTCGTAGTAGCCATCGGCCTGACATTCCTGCCAAGAGTTCTCGAATGGGCAATTGCTTAAATAGCGGAAGATGGGAACGCTATATATAATCGGAATGAAGTACGATATGCATTGCAGCACGAAGGCGGCCAAGAAGCAGTACAGCATGACTCGAGTTTTCTTTCGGCCCTCGGCAGCTCCCTCTTCAGATGTATACATGGTAATGAGAATTTCAGCAGCGGCCCGACCATCTGGGAAAACCAACTCGGGTTGCTTCACGATCAAAAAATTTCTCAAACTCACTGCAAATACCAGACCGAACCCAGCGGCACCAAAGACAAGTCCTGCCAGATTGCCAATATTATTAGCTACACCGCCGGTGAAGAACCCATTCCAGAATAGAACAAGAACAGGTGCAACCAAACCGCCGTTCAACCCGCCAGCAGCTGTACCGGCGGCCTGAAAGCAAGTGTGCTCTTTGATTCCCAGCGCCTTGCCCGTACACTTCAGAATTGGTCCCAGCGTGACACCGCCTAGGAGGGTTGCGAATAGAGTGGCACCGATTGTAATACCTGATTTGAGACCGAGATACATGTTGGAGATGGCGATTAACGAACCCACGAATGAACCTAAGATAGCTGCTCTCCATGTGAAGGATTGATCAGTGGCGATATACTCGACGAGCGGTAAACCCTCGAAGTAAGTATCGTGGTTCTTGACATCGCCCATAGGACCATCCAAACAGCTGGAAATGTGGCTTGGTGTCAAACTGACTTTGCGATCCTTGCTTTTGTTTTCCAAATTCACCGTGTCGGTTTCATCGGTGAACATGAGCGCTTCCGCGCTGTTCTTTACTATGTCACTCATTTCAGTCTGTTGCTTCATATTGAGATGTGTTGTCTGGACTGATGGTAACTCCAGCTTATATACTGATGATGGATAGTTCTGTTTGCATGTGTACTTATTTCGCATAACATTTTTTTGCGGCCATATTTAGCAGTATTAATGAGATACATCACCGTCAAATGTCAATGCGGTTGAATACATGCGCCATTCTTCAATTTCCAGATTGCCTCGCTCGCACCCTGCCCCACAGGGGCGCCAGTCAGGCCTCAGTAAATATTTCTAAATGTGTTGCTGTCTAAGTGCCAACTGCCCACAGCCCAGTGCCGGAAATATATAATTGCATATCCCCATATTGCCAGGCTGCGATCTGGTTCACTCTGTGAGTCTGGACTCTAGAAGAGTCCAGGGCCGGACTCTGGAAAAATTGGTAAATAAATAAATACCGGTAAATACATAGTACATACTGATACATCGTGTTATAGTCTCAAGTCTGACAATCCTCCGGGCCTCCCCACCAGAGTCCCAGACTCCGAGACTCCCAGACTCCTAGGCCCCAGTCCCCGCAGCCCCGCAGCCCCGGTCCCTCTCTCACTCTCTCTACTACTAGAGAGTAAATAGTAGTAGAGAGTAGAGTCCCCACTTCCCACCAGTCTAACAACTGCCACCAGAGACCTTTCGGCTTCTTGCATGTTTTATTTTTTAAAGAATAACCTCGATAAATTTAACCTCAAAATCACTGGCTGACTGGCATGATGCCCGTAATTTCACAATTCAAGTGAGTCAGTGACTATTGTTGTTTATATTTTTTATTAAAAATAGAGTGTGATCAGCTGGATTGGTCTAATTATTACCGACACGTCGGAAATGTTTTGAAATAGGAAATAAATCCGACGTATGCGAAATCCAATTACAATGTCGAAAACTACCCAGAAATGGATTCTGTTTCATGTCCGAAACTATTTAAAACTGTCGTTAACCAAGTCTGAATGAGGTGATCATAGATCAATGATCAGCTATAAATAATTTTAATTATTTCCTCATACTTTTTATTGCCCTTCTCTGGACTTGGTCGTGGAGTCGTTGCTCTTTTAGGGACTTGCCTTTTTTTATGACTTCTTGTAGTTGTCTTCTATAAATATTTTACTTCTAACAGTTGTACTTTCATCTTTTATAACTGTTGATCTGTTGTCGCGTGTGGACAACCCACAAATTTTGTTTATATTTGTATACACTTATAAATAATAACAAATAGTTTTTGAAATTGAAAGAAAGCATTTCTCATAACGAATCAATTTGCAGCTTGTGAAAATCGAAAACTCCCATAGTCACACTCTGACAGTCTTCCTACATTTACTCTCAAGCTAAAATTATACACGTTTTACCTATTTTTAATTTTCTTACACACATACGAACGCCGAGGCAGCCAGCCAGCCAGCCAGCCCTGCCCTGCCTCTGTTTGTAAAACCAGGCCTTGGATAAAAACCGTTGAATGGTAAAAAAAAAAACTTTTTTCCCTGAACCTGGAAACGACCTTCGACTCAATTCAGGGCTCAGGGTAAACTATTTTGAAAATAGACGTAAATACGTGAAAAGAATACGCTTATTACCTTCCGAAATGTACTTTTCCAAAACGTATTTATAACGAGATTTAGAACTCGATACCCCAATGAGCACGCGCGCAATAGTTATTACACTTTCCAATTTTATATATTATTATTACGAATTAGGTTTGAAGTAGTCCAAATCGTGCTACGCCGTGGTCAAAGGCTGGAACGAAATTGGCCCGTTACTTCAATATTGTTAATTTGACCGTTTCATCAGCTTCTTTGTTCAAAAATAAACGTTTATGAGTAAACAATATAAGAATCACAGTATATCAGTGCTTCACACGTGCATCCGTGTCCCATTGAGCCATTAATTCATTTTTAGGGTACATAAACGTTTATTTTTGCGTTGTTTATACATACATACGCATTTATTTATTTTAGGATATATATTTGATTTATTTTTAAATGACCCGTTCAAGGAATGAAGGTTAGCCGTTTTAGCAATGTATCTTGGGCTGCATCATGCATGGCCCTCTCTGGAGTTTGGAGTTTGGAGCTGTCTATCAGTCTCAGAAATGATTTTGTCCTGGAGTCCTGGACTCCAGGGACCTGGGCAGAATCCATTTTCAATTTTTCATCCAGCGACAATTTCTCTCTCTATTGACTATTCTCTCTTTAGACAGTAGAGAGGAGAGAGCTAGAGTAGAGAGTGGCTAACGACAACTAGTAGTAAAGAGAGTAGTAGTAGTAAGTAGAGGGCCATGCCGTTAGCTTGAAGCTGCTGGGGATTTATTTTATTTTAAAACAGGGTACTTCCCTGTTCTTACTTGAATAAATTAGCCTTTGTGGTAATTGGTAAATAACTATATATAAAAATATTATTTAAACGACGCTGTTGTATTGAGTATTGACTAATGAGTATTGACTATTGTTCAGAATAGAGAGTAGGCCGGGATGGGCTCTTTAGTTACTCTTTCTCTTGAGTAGGGACTAGTGAGTAATGACTATTTCTCTCTCGCTCTCTTGCTAGTAGAGAGAGAGAGAGAGAGTAGAGATTATTATTGAAAAAGATTAGAGAGGACTGCTTTTTTTCTTCATTTCATAATAAATATTTACATATAATTGTAGCTTAGCATGTACATTATTGTACAGTGTACATACATTATAATAAAAATAGAAGTCGCCTTCATATAGGCATTGAAAGGCGAAAGCTCTAGATTAACGATTTGAACAAATCAAGTTCACGAGTCCTGACTCCTGAGTCACTGACACCTGAGTCCAGACTCCAGGCACCTGATTGACTGAGTTCAGACCCCTTACTCTATGCTAAATACTCTCGACGAGCGAGAGAGATACTGGATCACTGGATCACTGTGACTCTGGAATCTGGAGAGTCGAGACTGACAATGAGAGACTGAAAGGCAAAGTGGACGTTATGCACGAATCACGACTACATATTTAGACTTTAGTATTTACATTAATACTATGTCAATATGTAAAATTCTCTACTGTAAATAGTATTTAGATTTTAGTGCTCTCGTAGGACGTAGAGGCGCCGGCGGGCTTGGCCTTTTTAGAAGGCGGCTTAGGGACTAGACTTTTTTTTGGGGGGGGTTTCTGCTTACGGACTAGGCTTGTTTTTTGGGGGGTTTTTATTAAAAACCCCAATACAGTATCAAGTAGTACAACAAGTAGTGTTAGGCTGTTCGGAGTCTTCGGACTGGCTACTCTGGTTTAGGGTCCCCCCC